GTAATCGAAGCTGTAAATGGTTATTTTGAGGAGCTTGACGAATCAGTCTATAGAGATGGCATTAATAGACTGGAACACCGCTATGAGAAATGTATCAGCCTTGGAGGAGATTATGTTGAAAAAAAAAAAAAAAAAATTTTTAAAAACCTTGTTTTTCTTGGTCAGGCCGGAAACTTATCAATCCACCCTCGTATAACCATGAAAATAGAAGAATACGTAAAAAACAAAATCTGACCAGGAAAAGTTCGATTATGAAATTACGATATTGAAATGACACCATTCTAAGTGTTAATTAGAAGTGGATATTAAGGTATTAAGGAATTTGATGTGCTTCAGAAACTGGACAAAAATTTTGTACAAAGGATAATTGTGAACACAAAATTTATTTAATATCTACATTACTAGACCAATCCTACTGTTAATAAAAGCCAATAACTTTTTAAATTTCCATAAAATCTTACAGACTTGCGACTGAAGAAGATCCTTACGCGTTAAGATTTAGTGTAATTCCTACTAAAAAAATTTTTTGCTCGAAACGTAAGCTTCCTAAATAAGGGTAATATGTGAGAACAAAATTTTGCTGACAATTATCATTTATAGAAGATATTTCGGTAAATGTATAGACCCTTGTTTGGATGGGGGAGAAAACGGGTTTGGGGATGGGGTTGACGTTGTGTGATACAATAATCGTTTATTTAATAGGTTCTTCATCTTCACCTTTCACGTCACCATCTCTCCCATCCCACCTAAAAACATTTGAATGACGTACTACGAGGTCCTCCCTCCCCCTACCGAGGGTGGCTACGTACATCCTAATATTTACCGATACTTGTATAAGTTTTGTAGATGTTATTTAAAGTAACTGTACGATCTGTTTAAACAAATGGTTATAAATTAAGTAAAACAGTATTTCCTTTCGAAGTTTTCCCTTGCCGGCAGTATATCAATGTCATATAATGTAAAAATATAGAAATAGGAGCGCAAGGAAATTGAACGAAATTTTCGGGGTGTAACGTAGGAAGTAAAAGGAGAGAGAATTTCGAAAGGAGAAAAACATGTCTATACAATTCCTTTGGGAAAGCTATCATCACGGAATACAATGTTAGGTTCTCGAATTGAGCTAGGTGATATACTTACTTTTGTTTTCGATGCATTAGGGAATTTCAAAAAAAACAAATCTGAACATGAACCATATACGATCAAGATTTGAACCATAGCAAATAATTTCTTTCATTGTCTCTTAATCAAATAATACACTTTGGGGCGCTTTCCACAGTAAATTAGAGGAGGTACACTTTCCTTGGAAAAACGATTTAATCTAATTCAAAAAATCAGCTTTATGTTACTTTTAATTGCTTTTACTTTTGACGTGACAAGGCCTTATAATTCGATGGAGCCGGCTGCACGCACGAAAAAACATGACTCATGCGGCGTTACCTCGCTCTGAGGCGTTGCATTTAAGGCTTGAAGTGCAAGCGAGAGCGCGGAACGAGCGACAAAGAGGCACAATCGGCCTCCGCGTTCGGCAGCGTTCGACATCTGTCTCTCTCCNTCTTACGTTTTATTTTAGGAAAAATCTATTGTGTGATGTTACACTTATAGCAGATAATGTAGAAATACCTGCCCACAGAATAGTTCTTGCTGCATGCTCTCCTTATTTTTATGCTATGTTTACAAGTTTTGAAGAGAGTAAACAAGACAGAGTAACTTTACAAGGCGTCGACCATCAAGCTCTTTCATTACTTTTGGATTATGTTTATACATCAGAGGTTCAGGTTACAGAGGAAAATGTACAGGTAAGATATAGAAGGTGGTGCAGTTTTAGTTTTATAATAATTGCAATTTATCCTGTATTGTATAAATGATATTCCATATTTCTTGTTATAGATGCTCCTACCGGCAGCAAATTTGCTCCAATTAACAGATGTGAGGGATGCTTGCTGTGACTTTTTACAAGCTCAGCTGCATCCTACAAATTGTTTAGGGATTCGGGCATTTGCAGACCTTCACAGTTGTTTAGATTTGCTGAGCAATGCAGAAACTTACATTGAGCAACATTTTCCGTAAGTTAAATTTAAAATACTATCTTCTGATTTGATTACCAGAAAGTATATTAAAATGTATTCATGCAGAGGCAAATAGAGTTGTTTGTTCGTAAACCTAACACAATACTTGTAAAAACTTCAAACTAACTTAAGAATATTTCAATTTTTGTAATTATAACATTTTTTTTAACAGGGAGGTTGTTGAGTGTGAAGAGTTTCTAACATTATCCCATCAACAAGTTTCTAAATTAATTAGTAGCGACCATTTAACAGTTCCTACAGAAGAAAAGGTATTTCTGTTTGTTGATAATGTAATGTAATAAGCAATTTAATTTTTTTTATTTTTAATCGCAGGTATTTGAATGTGTGATTTCATGGGTACAACATGATTTGGAAAACCGACGTCAGTATCTTGCCATTCTTATGGAGCACGTGAGGCTTCCTTTGATGTCCCAGGACTATTTAGTGCAACGTGTTGAAGAGGAGCCCCTTCTAAAGTCCGACTTGCAGTGCAAAGATTACATAATTGAAGCACTTAAATACCATTTGCTCAAAGGAGATACTAAGACTTGCTTTAAGACTCCAAGAACAAAACCACGACAACCTGTTGGATTGCCAAAAGTAAAATACTATATATTTCCTTTTTTATTTTGAAGTTAATATTTTTTATTATTGTAGGTTTTGTTAGTAGTAGGAGGCCAAGCACCAAAGGCAATCAGGAGTGTGGAATGTTACGATTTCAAAGAAGAAAAATGGTACCAAGTTGCTGAGATGCCATCGAGACGTTGCAGGTCAGTCTACTTATCTTTTTTCTCTTTTCAAAGATTAAGTTAAATTTATAAAGAAACAGGTACATATCGTATGTCTCCTAGGACAAACCAATTTCAAGTATTTTTAATATCCCCATAACTTTTTTAAAATTAATATGAAAAATAGCATATTTCAGTGTAATGCATGCATTCATTCACTCAACAAGTCTTATGGTGTTCACAAGGCATTAAAGTAGAACCATAGGTATACTACAAAAAAGAAAAAAAAAAGAAAACGAAAATCACTTAATTTTTAATAATAATAATTATTGCTAAAATAATAATTCTTTTTATTTTCAGAGCCGGCCTTGCGGTTATTTCAGGAAAAGTGTATGCTGTGGGTGGATTTAACGGTTCCCTACGTGTTCGTACTGTTGATCTTTATGATCCAGTTCAGGATCAATGGAGTACTTGCACTAGTATGGGAGCACGGAGGTCTACGTTGGGTGTGGCTGTTCTAGGGAATTGCATTTATGCTGTAGGAGGTTTCGATGGTTCAACTGGTCTCAATACTGCTGAAAAGTTCGACCCAAGGACTCAGGAATGGACAGTCATTGCCAGCATGTCTACTCGAAGAAGTAGCGTTGGTGTGGGAGTAGTTAACGGACTTCTTTTTGCTGTAAGATTAAATTTCAATTTTGCTGTAAGATTAAATTTCAATTTTAAGGAATAGCTTTAGCTGGGTGAGCATAAGGGAGCTGCTCTTATGACTTTGTTTTTTCCTTTCATAAAGAACAGTACCAATATTTATAATATTTTTAAACAATACTTAATTTTCTTTTTTTGTTTAATTTTATTTTTATACATTATTTCAAAGGTTGGAGGATATGATGGGGCTTCTAGGCAATGCTTGAGTTCAGTGGAGTGTTACAATCCAGAAACTGACACATGGACTCCTGTCAGTAACATGTGTTCAAGGAGAAGCGGGGCAGGTAAAAAGAATAATAAAAAAACTTTATACCAATTAATTTCCATTTTTATGACAGGTGTGGGGGTATTGGAGGGTATTTTGTACGCTGTAGGGGGTCATGATGGTCCTCTCGTTAGAAAATCCGTGGAAGCATATGATTCAGAAACAGGATCGTGGTCTTCAGTGACAGATATGGCCTTATGTCGACGGAATGCAGGAGTTATAGCTATGAACGGGCTCCTGTACGTTGTGGGTGGTGACGACGGTTCTTGCAACTTGGCCTCGGTTGAAGTTTACAACCCCAAAACAGACACTTGGGCCATGCTACCCAGCTGCATGGGTATCGGACGAAGTTACGCTGGCGTAGCGATAATAGATAAGCCCATATGAAATACTACAATTGCTGGAAATGGGGTCGCTACAATAGGAAGGTAAATATTTGTTTTTTCATCGTAGTGGTTACATTCCCTTTTATAGAGCTTTAAAAATCTAAAAAAATAATATAATGACAATCAAAAATAGGACTTCCTAACGATAATAAATATTATTCATTTTTATTTGTAACTTCAGCTGATTGTATTTAGTTTTGAAGATAAGTTTGTTGGAGCATTGCCCTTATAGTATCCACTAACTGTATTTGAATTACATTTAATGGTATCGTCTCATATTATTGTTATTATTATCTTTATTCTTTTCAAGTGCTGTCCTTGTATTTTTGGTGCTTGTGTCTGTTTCCCTACATAAATATTTGCAGGTTGTATGCGTCACGTTCCAGATACGCGAATTGTGACAACGACGACGACAGCACGGCTGAGGGGGCTGTGGGCTACGCCCCCGCGGCCGCCTTCTCGCACCCTCACGTTAACAATTATGAAAACATTTACGAGAGTGTAAGCTGCGACCCCATTGCCAGCAATGAGAATATTTATGAAGAAATCCCCCTGTTGACAGTCCGCCGAGCCAGTTCTGATCGAAACGTGGCTTCTTTGCAGTATCATGATCGATGTGGTACCGTTCCTGAACCATTTTATGCCAATAGTAACAACAATGTTACAGCAAGTTGTAGTCATGTTCATGGAGCACCACACCATACTGCTACTTTAAACGTTGTAGGAAGGATCGAACGCCATCTATCGTCTTCTTGTAGTTCGGGGATGGACAGCACACATTATGCCCCCTTAGAGTGTTTGTCTACATCTCCCCATGGATCAGGGCGTATGAGCAAGATGTCAGTGCAGTGGTTACTAGTCAACAGGTGGCTCCCTGTCTGGATCTCTAATCCTGATCATAGTGAAGACGATGAAGAGTCGGATTATGGGAATTTAGGAGATTTAACTTCGACCTCAGAACAGAGGAATGGAGGGGGTGGTTCGTCGTCGGGTGACAGACAAGATCCATCTGACCATTACAATACCAATTAAATAATTGTAAGTTTTCAATTCTGTTATTTTAGAAGTTTTTTTTTCGTTTTCTTTTTTTAAATAATTTGGCTTTTCCTTTGTCGATTATTTTATCTTAATGTAATAACGTATATTTTTTTAAATTGAGTTTACTTCTAATTTTATTTAGTGGGAGTAAATGTTACTATTTGAATGCTCTGTACGTTATAAAGTTTAATAACTTCTTCTATTTTTCTCTTAAGTTCGTATGAAACAAGAAGTAAACAAATTAACCTTTCAGTTAATTAAAGGGACATTCCAATGATTTCTTCAAGTATTTGGACTAAAAGTATTAATGTTCCAAAATTAAAATTAATTTGGTTGTATTTCTTTTTAATCTTCCATAATATTTTGATTCTGGGATGTTCTTTTTGTTTTGTTCTTATTTGTGTGTCATCGTCACCTCTCATTGGTATTTTTTATTTCTCCCTCGAAATTCTTAATTGGCAATAACATAGTTGCTTGCTATAAAAATCGTGTAATGTATGTTCCAGTAATAAATTGTGATTTAATGCTTCAAAATAGAAAATTGTTATTGACAACTATCGAATTTGAACTATTGTCATTTGTTATATTGTCGTAAAATATTGTAATTAAACGTTAGAAATAGGTGTATAATCTTAAAAAAATGGACAAGAATGTTGTATAATTAAAAGTCTGCTTTATATGCTCTATGAATGATCTTTTAGGTTTGTCCAGTTTAAAGTTACATTGAATTAGGAAAAGAAAAAATAGTTACAATTTATAAATAGTAAATTGTGACATGTACTAGTCACTGCTAATTACTGCTGTAATGTGTACTATTTATTGTATAATACTTTTATTTTTTTAGATCAATTAATTTCTTAATGTAATAAGATTTACTTCATTATTTTTAATTATTAAAACATTTTATATCTCGATTTTTTGTGTAGTATTCATTTATTTGTTGTTTGTTTTTAAGAACATTAGAATTTATATGCTCTAACGTTTTTTAATACCAAAGGAGGAACCTATAACCGTTTGTACACAAAACGATTTACATTACTTATAGTAGGTAGACTAGCCAGCGCATACGGACATTTTATCTCCCATTCATAGATGTCGCAGGGGGTTCTACTTAACATTAAGTAACTTTGTTTTCTAAGAAATCAAAAATTATAGCAAAAATATTATGTCACCACGAAAACACACAATAAAACATTTCTGTGTTTTATTATTTAGGGTGATTTAAAGATTTTTGTTTTCAGAGAGCATTTGATGGTGATGGAGGAGGTGTAGCCATACAAGTAGGTGCTAGTAGTTAATTAAGGAATTTTCACTTATGCAACCCAATTTTTGAAAAGAAAGGGATAATGTTATCTAAAAGTCTTTCGTCCTGTATTCGATACTTTTTTTTTTTGATATAATAAGGCTGCGGATTCCAGTTTAATTAGCTTAAAACATATCGTTACTACACATTTATTTTGTTTATTATAAACCTGGAAAGTATATATATCACTTATAACTTGACAAATTAACTTTCATCTTCATTAAACGAGATGAAAGTACCAAAATGCATTACAGTTGTTGATGAGGCACCAGTGAAACGAATTATAGTTGGAAATTACCGGGGCACACTTTCAACCCCTAATGTAAGAACATCGCCTTTATTTCTTAATAAATTAATTTCCTCCTTATTAAACGGGTTGAAGACACCAGAATGTATTAAAGTTGTTGACAAGGCACTAGTGAAATAAATTTTATACTTGGAAATTACCGGGGTACATTTTCAACCCCCAATTTAAAAATGTCACTTTTATTCAAAATAAATTAATTTGTACCTTATTAAACGAGTGGAAAGTACCCAAATGCATTACAGTTGCTGATGAGACACTATCACTGAGTAGAATTTAATAGTTGGAAATTATCGGGGCACACTTTCAACCCTCTATTTAAAGAAACGTCTCTTCTAATTCTTGATAAATTAATTTCACCTTTATTAACTAAGATGAAAGTACCAAAATGTATTGAAGTTGTTACTGGAGCATCAGTGAAACGAAATTTATAGTAGGAAATTATCGGGACATACATTCAACCCCGAATTTAAAAACGTCGCTTTTATTTTTGATACATTAATTTCTTCCTTATTAAACCGCCTGGAAGTACCAAAATGTTTAATAAATTGCTGTAGGGCTTCAGGAAACGAATTTTATAGTTAGAAATTGTCTGGGTGCACTTTTAACCCCTAATTTAGAGACGTCCGTTATATTTTTTCCTCATCAAATGAGTTAAAATACTAAAATGTAATAAAGTAGTTGTGGTTGGACAGAAACTAAAATTATGTGGCTAACTCTTACTAATAATGATAACAACAAAGCAATGAATTTAAAGATTGAGAAAATTGTAAGTATCTAAATTCTGCATATTTTATACTTCTACAACCGTAACATTCTTTGCAAGTGTGATATCTTTTTGTCTAATCTCTTTAATGGTCTGTTTTTACAATTGTGTCATTCGGTCACCTTGACTGTTTATTTCGAGAAATGCTATGCTTCTATTTATGTATGTGTAGAGATACACTTTCTGATTAGAATCTTGAATTCCTTCGTTAAGAATAGTCGGATTAAATTTAGGAATTAATTCACAATTTTATAAATTAATACATATTCTAAAGCGTATTCTTTTGTCACGTGGATTTGTAGTATTCTCATAGATATTTCTGGTTTTAGTAACGGATCTAGTGAAAGCTATTTAATTTNCATTTTATTGTTTATTACATTCAAATATTTTTTTTGTTATGAGTATAACAACCATCACTACCATTTTCCATATTTTTTTTTGTTTGTAAAATATTTTTATTTACGAGTGCTTTCCTCGATATAAGTTTTTTGGTTCTTCTACCTTTCCGGCTTCCCTAAGGCCGAATAAAGAAGGCTACCGTGAATTTTGGTGGGAGTTCTGGGTTTATGCAACTTGAGAGCCTACCTAATTATTTTCTCAAAAAACTGCTTTCTTTAATGATGTATACATGAAAAACAGTGCACCATAAACAACACTTACGATTAGTTAGTCATTTTGACGACAGTACTTAAGTGCAGCGGTTTTAAGCCCGTTCGTTAGTCTGCGAGATACAAAATTAAAAACAAGTAACGGGAAATCCTGAATTTTTGACTCAAATTTTTAAAAATTTTCATATATTTTTTTTTTGTAAATTCACAATGTTCTGGGTTACAACCCAAACTGCTTGTGTATACATAGACCCACCCTTGCTAAGGCCAACTAATATCCACCCCAGTCAAACACAAACATGATTTCTAGAGTTTGATACCTCCACAATCACTACCTTCGAATTGCTATACGTAGAGATAATAGAAAGTAAAAGGAAGTCATTTTTAATCAAGATTATAATTTTTATTATAGATATATGCTTTTTAGGGTTTTCCATACTACGAAATCCTTAGTGTGCGAGTCCAATAACACAAACGACCAGTACCTTTATCAATGTTGGCAATATTCGCAGAATATTTTGAGATCACCGTATGTATATGTCCGTTTTTCTTATTTCTCTATTTCCGCACGTTCTGTCCAATTTCTTCAGAGCGCGTGACAAATTTTCCGAGCGCAGACTCTCGCGCATCCCAGCTCCAGCTGACTCATCTCCCGGAGTTTTCTCCGGGTCCGCCGTGTAGCGTGGAGATTCGCGAATCCGGCTCGCAGAAGGCCGCTTTTCCGTTTTGTTTCCGATGCCTTCTGGCTACGACGAGTTCACGCGGACTGTGAACACTATCGACCCCGTGTGCACTTGGTTCGTTCGTTGAATTTTACAATTAGTGTCGCGAAGGACGAATAATAACATTCGAAACTCTTCGGTTTTCTTCCTTGGGAAAACAACAGCAGCCCATACACGCTGTTCGATGAGTGGTGGGTTTTGCATGCCTTTTTGTTATTGTTATTGTTATTCTCCTCGATTTTGTATGCACAGGGTCAACAGGACGAAGTAGGGGGTTAAAACGTGACATACAATATTGTTACGCTTATTGTTCTTAAACAGTCAAACTATTGAACATTGAATAAATAAAATCAAATTTTCTCACGTGTTCAAAAAAAGTGTTTTAAAACATATTTTTTTTAAGGAAAATTGGGAGTTTCTAACGTTTTCATATTGAAATATAAATACTTATCGATTTATTTAGTTCTAAATATTGAACTGTTTCCTGAGTTATGATTAATAATAATCAATCAATATTAAAAAAAAATAAGGATAATAATATTTTCGTTAGGTGTATCAATTTTGCTATAAATCGATAGTTGTTGTTTAATAACGAATATCTTAAGTATGACGTAACAAACAACGAAGATATTTACCATTTTTCCACTCGAATTTATGTTGTGATAAAAATTTCTAGTTAATACTTTTACCAAAGATATGAATATTATGTTTTTTTTACATTAACGTAATTGTAGGAACAAAATATTCTAAACATAAATAGTCGATAAAATAAATGAAATGCATATTTATATTTATTAGAAGTATAATTTTATTGAGTTTAGGTAGGTATATCATTAACAAAAAAGTCCAATTTCGGTTTTCATCAACACTTAATACTAATAACCAATAATTTTAGTGGTACAAATATATTGACTTAAATAAGGTTCAAAACAATATACGCAGACGTAAGTATCAGAAACAAATTTGTATCAAATTGTGGTTTTTAAACCTTACAGAGACTAGAATATGAATAAGTATATTATAGTATGAATTATGAGCAATTTTACTTATCCTAACAAAAAAAAAACAGTTCCAGAGATCTGCCACTAAGTAATAACAAAAATAATACAAACCCTAATACTGCAAACGTAAAAGTAAATTTGAAATAATTACCTTTTTCTTAGTAATATAAGTTTGTTGTTAACAGTTTACGTTTCAAGGGTTGTGAATGTACAAAAATAGATAGACATATCAAATAGGTTTTACTATTACTTATTAATTATTTATTTTATGTTGTTATTGTTATTTACACATTTGTATGCATTGATTCACGTGAATTTCGTAGTCTGTGTTAAACTTAAAAATTTTATCACAAATTTCGCACCTTATTGTACCAGTAAATGCATCTAATTCAATCTCGTCGTCGCTCTCTACACTTTCGATGCAAAGTTCGGCGTGTCCCTAAAACGAGTTTTGTGAAAAAAAAAAAAAAAA